GACTTGGGCCATCATCGGCTGCTTTCCGCGGGCACATTAGCAGGGAGCTGGATAGGAAGTGGAGCAGCCAGGACTCAAAGCAGTACCTGTACAGGATGCCACTGCCACAGAGGCTTAACCTACCACGCCACAGCACGCAGGCCCCGGCAGAGTTTTGTCTCACTGCACAGAGACTAACGCTTGGGGCAGGCATCAGATAAGTAAACAGCCGTGCAGGGGGAGCAGAACGCTCTGGTGGTCCTGCCAAGTTCCTGGCAGGGTCATCAACGAAGTTATGTTTGGAAATAAGGAACGAGAGAAGACAACAGGCCAGAGTGAGGTAACAGGAAAACAAATCCGTGTACCCCAGGCTCACACCAATGCACGCCCAAGGCGGATGGGCAGATGCCAAGATCCAATCTGACTTGCAAATTTTGCCAGACAGAAATCCACCCAGAGCATCCGGAGTGATCTCCAGTAAACGCCAGGGCCTTCGCCCAGGCCATCAGTCCAGGCGCCACTGCCTTCTCTTGCTCACCTGTCTAAACAACCAGGGCAGTGCCTGTCCAGCAGCCTCACAATGCGTCAAGCCCCAGTGTCAGCGAGTCCTCTGTGGCGCCTTCCCGGGGCCTCCCCGCCACGCCTCCTCAACCCTGGGCCCGCTTCACGTCCCTCGGCTCTGCCACAGGGCAGCTCTTGGATTAGCGCCCATGCTAGTGGTTGTCAGAGACGTGTCTGCAACAGAGGTCCAGAGACTCTAGATCAGAAGTTCCAGAACCTACCCTCATAATTGTCGGGAAACCTGTTAAAAATGTATGCGTATACTCTAGGGCCTCCATTCCCAGAGACCATGAGATTTTGTATTTACTCGAGAGGCTGGAGAGAGAGAGAGAGAGAAAAAGAGATAGTGAGAACCTCCATCTGCTGGTTCACTCCTCAAATGTCCTCAGTGGCTAGGGTTGGCCAGGCCAAAGCCAAACGAAGGGACACGGATTGAGCCCCTACTCTGTGAAGAAAACACACGGATAGAGGGTTGGCCTGCAAAGAGGATAAAACACAGTTTTACCCCCCCCCCCCGGGAGTATGTCTGAAGAGGTAGAAGGATAAATAGCATTCTTAGGATAAATTAATTCTTGAGATCAGCCATATGAGGCCACTACATTAAGTGTAGGAACAAGCCTCTGGGTGGCCACGAGGACTGCACCAAGTGGAATCACTGTCGTGAGGGTGGTGGCCTGCAGCATGGCACACACGTGGGCAATGCTCATGGCACTCACACACACCCATGTGAATAGGACTTTTCTACCATCTGGACCAGCTGTTCTCACACCCTGCTTATCAGAAACACCTGGGAAGGTTTCAAAGAATGACTAGGGGGCAGATGAATACGGCCTAGCGGTTAGGACACCACTGTCCCACATGACAGTGCCTGGGTTCAATACCTGGCTCAAGGGCTGACATCGTGGCACAGCGGGATAAGTCAATACTTGAAACACCAGCATCCCATACTGAAGCAACAGTTTGGTCGCAGCTGCTCCACTTCCAATCCAGCGCCCTGCTAATGTGCCTGGGAAGGCAGTCGAAGATGGCCCAAGTACTTGGGTCCTGAAACCCATGTGAGAGACCTGGATGGTGTTCCAGACTCCTGGCTTTGGTCTGGCCCAGCCCCAACTATTCTGGTCATCTGGTAGTGAAGCAGCAGATGGAAGATCTCTTTGTCTCTCTCTCTCTCTCTGCCTTTCAAATGAATAAAATAAATTAAAAAATAATAATTTCTGCCTCTAGCTTCCTGCTAATGTGAGTGCAGGAAGCGATGGTGAGGGCTATGTAACTGGGTTCCCACCACACCCACAGGGGAGACCCACATGCACTCTTAGCTCCCAGCTTCAGCCTCACCCAGGTTCAGCCATTGTAGGCGTTTGAACCGTGGGCCAACAGATGAGACATTTCTCTCTCTTTCTTCTTTTTTCTGCGTTGTTCTGTCATTCAAGTAAACAAAATAAATCAAATAATAAAAATAAAGCTATTAGTGGGAGAAAGAAAACTTACAATGACTTTATTCATTCTGCCACTTATTAGTTATATGATTTTTTTTAAAGATTTATTTATTTATTTATTTGAAAGGCAGTCACAGAGAGGCAGAGGCAGAGAGAGAGAGAGCAGCCTTCCATCCGCTGGTTCACTCCCCAGATGCTGCGCCAGTGCAAAGCCAGGAGCTTCTTCCAGGTCTCCTACGCGGGTGCAGGGGTCCAAGGACTCAGGCCATCTTCCACTGCTTTCCCAGGCCACAGCAGAGAGCTGGATCAGAAGTGGAGCAGCTGGGACTCAAACCAGCACCCATATGGGATGCGGGCACTGCAGGCGGTGGCTTTACCCGCTGTGCCACAGCGCCAGCCCCAGGTGTGTGATCTTAAGCAAGTTTCTCAAACTCTGCCCCTCTGCTAATTCATCCACGCGACAGAAACAATCAACGCCCGTGAACTTGTTGATAAGGTTGGAGCAATGGATGAAAGCCCCTGACGTACACAGGTCACTACAAATGCAGAGAGGAGCTATAACCACAATTACGTTAACTAGATGACCCCTCGAGCCTACGTTCCTCATAGGTAAAATGGGGACATGTTACAGGTGGAGCTTAAATAAGAAAAGTGTTACTGCCCGAGGCCTGGGACACTGTACATCCCCGGAAATGATAGGGACAGGTGAATGATGCTACGCGTGTCTCAATACACCCAGCCAAAGTCTCTTTCATTTTTCCTGGATTAAACCCTTTGGCAAAATGGAGTCTCTCTTCCCAGACCTGACACACTCCCACCCAAGCCAGAGAGTCTATGACCCAGGCCCAGAACAGGCCCGAGCGGCCTTGTCCCGCCCTGGCGCTGGTGCTGGGGGCACGGCCGGCCTTCCTGCCACTTGTGTGGACTTTTCATCTCTGGCTATTCCAGGACGGAGGCCAAGATCAGCACGGCCCCGGCTCTCTGGGGACTCAAAGCTGCCTGCTCTGACCTTTGGTATCTGCAGGAAGCGAGGAAATGCCATCCTGCTCCTAGAGAACACAGAGACACCAGGGCTCAGCGACAGCCTGGGCAATGAGCGGGCCAAAGAGGCCAGGCGCTGCAGGCCGTGTCCCAGGGCAGGAAGAGAGGTAATAAAAGTCCTCGCTGTAGCCAGTGGAGGTCTCAGCTTCATTTATCGTTTTAGATTTTTTTAAAAAAGATTTCTTTATGGGGCATAGTAGGTTAAGTCTCCACCTGTGGCTCTGGCATCCCATATGGGAGCAAGTTCGTGTCCCGGCTGCTCCTCTTCTGATCCAGCTCCCTGCCTGTGGCCTGGGAAAGCAGCAGAAGATGGCTCAAGTGCTTGGGCCCCTGCATCCACATGGGAGACCTGGGAGAAGCTCCTGGCTCCTGGCTTCAGATCGGTGCAGCTCTGGCCGTTGTGGCCATTTGGGGAGTGAACCAGCGAATGGAAGATCTCTCTCTCTCTCTCCTTCTCACTGTCTGTAGCTCTACCTCTCAAATAAATAAAATCTTAAAAAAAAAAAAAAAAGCTTTACTGATTTATTTGAAAGGCAGAGACACAGACAGAGACAGAGAAGTAAAGGGATCTTCTATCCGCTGGTTCACTCCCCAAAGTGCAGCAGGGGCCCAAGGACTCGGGCCTCCTTGCACTGCTTTCCTAGGCCATTAGCAGGGAGCTGGATCGGAAGTGGAGCAGCCGGGACTTGAACCGGCAGCCACGTGGGATACTGGTGCTGCAGGGGGTGGCTTAACCCACTGCCCACAACACCTGGCACGGTCTCAGTTTTAAAGCACTTTCACCCGTCTTCACTTACTGGCTCCACCACACAACCTCGCCCTAAAACTGATGGTCATTTCCTTCTCATCCATGAAGAGTCAAAGACCCAAACAGGCTGTATGATTTCCCCAAGGTCGCAGAGAGCGAGAGGCTGGGCCGGACTAGAACTGTGCCGGCTGACATCAAGTCCAAGGCTCTTCTGAGGATCCGCAAGGAGGAATGGGGACCCTTCTCCCAACAGCAAGGAAAAAAGGACAGTGAGAGAAACAGCGACACACACGAGGTATGAAGGCCCATAAGGCAGCCCATGTTTGGGACCTCGTGGCTCAGTGGGTCAAGCCGCCACCTGCATCCCGTCATCAGAGTGCCTGGTTCAATTCCTGGCTTTCGATCCCGTTCCCTGCTAACGCTCCTGGGAGGCAGCAGAACTTAGGTCCCTGCTACCGATGTGGGAGACCCGGGTGCAGTTCCTGGCACCTGGCTTCAGCCTGGTCCGTCCCGCTGTTGCAGCCGTTAGGGGAGTGAACCAGTGGGTGGAAGACCTCTTTCTCTGTTTCTCCCTCTTTCTCTCTGTTGTTCTGCCTTTCAAATAAATAAATAAATTGCTAGAAGAGTAAGCAGGTTAAGCTTCTGCCTGTGTCTCTGGCATCCCACGTGGGCACAGGTTGGAGACCCACCTGCTCCACTTGCAGTCCAGCTCTCTGCTATGCCTGGGAAAGCAGCGGAGGACGGCCCAAGTGTTTGGGCCCCTGCACCCACTAGGAGACCCAGAAGCAGTTCCGGGCTCCTGGCTTCAGCCTGGTCCAGCCCTGACCATTGTGGCCATTTGGGAAGTGAACCAGCGGATGGATGAGTTCTCTCCGTCTCTCCCTCTAACTTTGCCTTTCAAATAAACAAAATAAATAAATAAATCTGGGGGGGGGGCAGCACCAGCCCAGGTTTCAGGGGTGAGGCTCCCCCAGGCTCCAGGACCCAGAGAGAGGCTGCAGATTGAGCTCAGGGTAGGGTTCCAGGGCCGGGGGAGGGAACCAGCGACTGGACCGCAGGGGGCTGAAGGGTGTGGCTGGACACTGGGGGTGTCTGAATAGGAAACAGGGCGAAGGTGAAAGATCAGTGCGCAGTGCCTGAGGTGGTTGACAGACGAGGAAGCCCCAAACTGGGCTGCCCCAGGAAAAAGTCTGCAGACAGTTCAGTTCAGAACAGCTTTCTCCAAACACACTTACCCAGTCAAGGTGATCCCTCAGAAGTAATCCCTGTCGTTTAACTCGACGGAAAGGAGAAACCGCCCAGGAGCCCGTGGCCCTTTGGTAGTTGTAGTTTTCAGGATCAACGTGGGCGCTTGAAAGCATTGCCCGCGTCCATGTCAGGAACTACAACTCCCGAGGTGCACCGCGCGAGACGCGCAGTCTGGTCCTGGGACTACAGTCCCCAGAGTTCCACGCGACCCCGTGGTTGGAAGAGGCCGCCCTAAGGCGTAGGATGCGATGCGATTCCTCCCCCTGGTGGTCTGAGCCGCGGCCGCAGTCGAAGCCACGGTTGTAGGCACGAGCGGAGGGTTACTGCTTATAGTCATGCGGCGCTAAGAGGGACGGTCGGTAACTCTCCGCCTCACTGGTCCTCGAATAGTTCCCAGGCGTGCCTGGAAAGAGCCGGAGTTTCCCTTTATTCTCGCAGCGTGGGGAGGGGGTCCGAGCTTGCTTGGTGTCCCCCGCGCCCCCGCATCGGGCTTCCTCTGAGAGTGTGAGACAGGCCATTCAAACGATGGGCAGGTTCCCTACTGACCTGCGTCTGTTGACACCTGTGATTTTCCATTGTGCTTTAGCGACTCTGGCGCAGAGAAGGGAGGACGCACGCCACCCTCTCCCCGGCCCCTCCATTCACCCCTTTGACTCCCCTGTGCTGGCTCGTGGGGCACACCAGTGATCAAGGGGTCGTCCGTGGCCTCGGCAGGGTTCAATCAAGCACAGGATTCGGACAAGTGAGTAATTACGACACAGCAAGTGTGCCTCAGGAGGGGAAACACAGCCTGGAAAGGGGCACCTGCCCTGCGTGGGGGAGGGGCAGCCTTGTGAGGGAGCGGTGTCACGACTGAGACCCCAGGGAAAGGACTTAGCGCTGAGGACACTCGGACCAGGTATGCTGATGTCAGCGCCAGCGCGAGTGCAGAGGGCGGGGATGGAATGGAGAGAGAAAAACAGGGCCGCAGGCACGGTCCGGTCTTCGAGTCCTCTAACTTGGGTCTCAATGGAGCAAGGACAAAAAGCCTTAGATCAGGCTGACCTCTCACCTACATAGAGCAAGCAGGCCCCCAGTCCTCTGCCCTGCCAACACAGCCCCACCCTGCCTTGGCCAGCCCCGCCCTGCATGGACTGCTGGACACAGCACTATCTGAGGAGTGCAGCCATCAGCCTGGGCTCCCCCCACTGCTCCCAGACAGTCTCCCCCAGCTCAGCAGCTCGGCCCAGACCCCTCCCTGCTCACACTGATCTCACAGGACCTTTAGAAGGAGCCCAAGTTCTCCCTCTGTCTTGGCAGCCAGGGTTTAGCTCAGACCCCAAGCCCCTTCCCGCCACTTTGTACTGTAGAAACCGCTCGTCTGTGAGGGAGGGGGCCCTCGCCCTGCTGTGCGTTCCCCTGGGAGTGAGCCCCTCCCAGGCTCTCTCTTCTGCATAAGCCTGGTCTGGCTGTGGCTTCATCCTCTGTCTCTTCTCTCCTGACATCAGAACCTTCGACAGCTCCCTGGAGCCTTCTGAGGGAGGCCCCAACTTCTCAGCCTGGCATTCAGGTCCTCCCAAAGTGGCCCCCTACCCCCGTGCACTCCGCGACTCGCCTGCCCCGCTGCACTCACCTCCTCTCCTGCCTCGGGATGCTGCAGGTTCCCATTGTTCCCTGGGCAGCTGGGCTGCCTGCTCCTTCTTCCTTTGCAGGCCCCCTAATCCCCTGCTCCCCGTGAGGCTTCCCTGACCCCTGCAGGCCCCCAGAACCTCTGCTGGGACATGTGTGTGTGTGTACCTCTCACTTGGAGGCTTAACCCTACTGTCCTGTGGAAGTCTTAACTCCCCAACCAACTGGGAGCTCCTTGAACTTGGGCGCTGTGCTGAGTCCTACACGCGCTCTCTCCACCCACCTGCCCCACACTCTCCCAAGTCCCCAGGGTCCAGAGTCCCTGCTGTAGGCATCTTTGAGCTGACCTGTGTCCCTGGCATACTCTTGCCTCCACCAGCCTTCCAGGAGCCAAGATGAAATCATCAGGAGGGGGCCAGCGCTGTGGCGCAGCGGGTTAACGCCCTGACCTGAAGCGCCAGCATCCCATATGGGCGCTGGTTCAAGTCCTGGCTGCTCCACTTCCCATCCAGCTCCCTACTAATGGCCTGGGTGAACAGTGGAAGATGGGCCAAGTGCTTAGGCCCCCTACACCCATGTGGGAAACCCGGAAGAAGCTCCTGGCTTCTGGCTTCAGATCAGCCCAGCCCCGGCCACTGCAGCCATTTAGGGAGTAAACCAGCAAATGGAAGACCTCTCTCTCTCTCTCTCTCTCTCTCTCTCTCTCTCTGTAACTCTGCCTTTTTAATAATAAGTAAATCTTTAAAAAAAAAAAAAAGTCATCAGGAGAGAGGGTCGTTGGCACCGCACTGTGGTAATTAAAGCCCTGGACTTAGTTAAAGCTGTGGTTGTTGGTGGTGGCCACAGATGAGAGAGTGGCTCGCTTCAGCTCATTTGCTGAGCCTGAGACACAGGACACACCAGAGTCCCTGGTCATGACAGGGACAGCTTCTTCCAGTCTCCTACTCTCAGATGAGGCCACACGGGGGATTTAAGATTTCTCAGGGATGGGACTGTCACAGCCTGGTTTACTTCTTTTTCTTTTTTAAAGATGTATTCCTTTGAGCGTGTGTGTGTGTGTCAGGGGGAGAGATAAAGAGAGGAGGAGAATCTTCCAAATACTACAGCCAGGGCTGGGCCGGGCTGAAGCCAGGAGCCTTATCTGGACCTCCCACATGGGTGGCAGGGACCCAAGTACTTGGGCCCTGTTCCAGTACCTTCCCAGGCGCATTAGCAGGAAGCTGGAATGCAAGTGGAGCAGCATGGCAGGCGGAGGCCTGACTGTGCCACAAGGCCCACTTGCTCCTGCTTCTCCTCCTCTGTCCCCATTAGCCGGGTCTTCCTTGGGCCCAAACTCTTTCCTCAAGCAAAATAAAGTAGCTGAATTCAATTACATTTCCTTTTTTATTTTAATGTTTATTTGAAAAAGCAGAGGGATAAAGACAGAGAGAGAGCTTCCATCTGCTGGTTTACTCCCCAAATGCCTGCAACAGCCAGGGCTTGGCCAGGTCAAAGCCAGGAGCCAGGAACTCCATCCTGGTCTCTCACGGGGCTGGCAGGGGCCCAAGCACTTGAGCCATCACCTGCTGCCTCCCAGGGTGTGCGTTAGCAGGAAGCTGGAATAGGAAGTTCACCTTTTCTGGGATAAACCACACATGTAGGTTGTCAGCAAATCCTTGATTTTCCAGCCTTTCATCATAGCTCTTGTCCTCCAATAGAGCAAAGTTTACCATGCCAACTCTGGCCTGTCACTTGTTGTTAAATGACTTCCAGCTGGCATTTGGGTGGCTGGCTTTGGGTTTCTTGTTCTTCCCTCTACTTGCCAAAGTTGGTCGACAATTTTTTTTTTTTTTTTGACAGGCAGAGTGGACAGTGAGAGAGAGAGACAGAGAGAAAGGTCTTCCTTTGCCGTTGGTTCACCCTCCAATGGCCACCGCGGCCAGCACGCTGCAGCGCTGCGGCCGGCGCACTGCGCTGATCTGATGGCAGGAGTCAGCAGCTTCTCCTGGTCTCCCATGGGGTGCAGGGCCCAAGCACTTGGGCCATCCTCCACTGCACTCTCGGGCCACAGCAGAGAGCTGGCCTGAAAGAGGGGCAACCGGGACAGAATCTGGCGCCCCGACCGGGACTAGAACCCGGTGTGCCGGTGCCGCAAGGCGGAGGATTAGCCTAGTGAGCCGCGGCGCCGGCCGACAATGGTTTTTAATCAAAGTGTAATAGGTATATAATCAAGAACACTAATCTTAACTATCCAGATTAGATTTTGTTTGTTTGTTTATTTTTGACAGGCAGAGTTAGACAGTGAGAGAGAGAGACAGAGAAAGGTCTTCCTACCGTTGGTTCACCCCCCAAATAGCTGCCACAACCGGTGTGCTGTGCCGATTTGAAGCCAGGAGCCAGGTGCTTCCTCCTGGTCTCCCATACAGGTGCAGGGCCATCCTCCACTGCCTTCCCAGGCCACAGCAGAGAGCTGGACTGGAAGAGCAGCAGCCGGGACAGAATCTGGTGTCCCAACCGGGACTAGAACCCGGAGTGCTCCGCAGGTGGAGCATTAGCCTAGTGAGCCACGGCGCCGGCCCTGTTTGTTTATTTTTTAAAGATTATTTATTTGAAAGAGTTAGAGAGAGGAAGAGATAGAGGGATCTTTCATCCACTGGTTCACTCCCCAAGGGCCTCAACAGCCAAGGCTGGGCCAGGCTGAAGCCAGGAGCTTCATCCGGGTCTCCCAGGTGGGTGGCAGGAGCCCAAGTACTTAGGCCATCTTCTACTGCTTCACCCAGGCTGTTAGCACGGAGCTGGATAGGAAGTGGAGCAGCCGGGACTTGAACCAGCACCCATATGGGATGCCGGCATTGTAGGCGGCGGCCTTACCTGCTACACCACAACACAGGCCCCTACAGCCTAGCTTTTAAAAAGCATTTGTTGGCCGGTGCCGCAGCTCATTAGGCTAATCCTCCACCTTGCGGCGCCGGCACACCGGGTTCTAGTCCCGGTCGGGGTGCCGGATTCTGTCCCGGTTGCCCCTCTTTCAGGCCAGCTCTCTGCTGTGGCCCGGGAGTGCAGTGGAGGATGGCCCAAGTACTTGGGCCCTGCACCCCATGGGAGACCAGGAGAAGCACCTGGCTCCTGCCATCGGATCAGTGCGGTGCGCCGGCCGCAGCGCGCCGGCCAAGGCGGCCATTGGAGGGTGAACCAACGGCAAAGGAAGACCTTTCTCTCTGTCTCTCTCTCTCACTGTCCACTCTGCCTGTCAAAAAAAAAAAAAAAAAAAAAGCCTTTGTTGTAACCACCACCCCGCTCAAAGTTCAGAACGCTTCCCGTCCCCCCGATCGCTGCCTCCTCTGTGTACAGTCAGCCCCCACCTCCTCTCCCCCAGAGGGAACTGCTGGTTTTCCTTCTGTCATCATCAGCTGCGTAGGGAGGAGCAACCTTTTCTAACTTTTGACAGTGAGGTTTTATGCCAAATGATCCATCAGCAGGTGACGCCTGTGTCGCTGTCATCCCAGTCAGAGTGCCGGGAACGCACCTGTAATTAACGAGCCGTCTTTCCTG